TATAGTCTATTTCCACTTTCTTTATTCATCATTTTGCCCTGTCTTTAGCCCAGCTTGAGAGAAAAATCATCTTTTTGTTCTGAGACTTGCAGTTATAAAGGCATTAGGTTCACTAGAACGTCCTGGCTGCACCCACAGAGCAATGTAGGCTGGAGCAAGAAAAGGTCCAGGGAGGACAAGGAAGGATGAGGAATGTTAATGCAGATGTCTCTGAGATGGCCGTTTCTTGCTGGAGGTTCCTTTTTCTATGTTCCAGTTTTGTTTCCAATAGCAGATATGTGTGTATGCATGTGTGTTTCTGTGCAGGCAAGAGTGGAAACATGGTAGAGAGGAGGCAGATGCTCAAGCTGCTTAGTCATCACATACTAACCTGGGACACCTGGCCAGAGCCTGCAAAGTTTCTCAGGGATCTGCCCCAGCCGAAGCACTGGGAGTGGCCAGCTTCCCAGACGGCTTACAAGAAGGGCTTTGAGAAAGCCATTAACTAGGAACACTGTGGATGGCAGCCTGGCAAAAAGAGAGCTTATTACACCAGGTCCTTCATGAATGAAGATCTGTTTTTGGAGAAAAGTCTATACATGGGTGTTCAGACTCATGGGCAAAATCTATTCTTTGCAGAAAATACATGAACTAGAGATGCTGAGAAAACTAAAGGGCTTCCAGAGATTTTTAGACTAATAATAATAATCATCTTATGATTGCTTTAAATATTTGTAAAGCTTAGCAGGTTAAAAAGCACTTTCCCAGTCATTATCATATTTGATTTTCACAGTAACTCATTGAAGTAGTCAAGGCAAGGGTGATTATGCCCATTTTACAAATGGGGAAATGAGGCTCGGAGCAGCTAAATAACTTGCTCAAGGACCCAAGTGTCCTAATCGATCGCATGGATGACTGGGCCTTGAACCTCTCTTACACTTCTTAGAGTACACTTAGCTAATTGTTGGGTAGTTTAGTGGCTTCTTAGATACTTGAAGTATTAAATCTAAAAGGACACAAGCTCTCAATTTGAATATGGTAAGGGGCTGAGCACAATGGCTTATTCCTGTAATCCTAGCACTTTGGGAGGCTGAGGCAGGAGGACTGCTTGAGCCTAGGAGTTCAAGTTCAAGACCAGCCTGGGCAAGAAAGCAAGACACTATCTCTATAAAACATAAGATAATTAGCCAGCCATGGTGGCGTGTGGCTGTAGTCTCAGCTACTCTGATCACTTGAGCCTAGGAGTTCAAGACTGCAGTGAGCTCTGATTGCACCATTGCTCTCCAGCCTGAACAACAAAGTGAGACCCTGTCTCAAAAAAAAAAAAAAAAAAAAAAGAAAAGAAAAAGAAGAAGGTAATAAGGACTGCAAACAAATCATCCAAGGTCTTGCTAAAATGGCTATCTGATGAATAGGTCTTGAGGTAGCACCTGAGATTCCACATTTCTAATAAGTTCCCAGATAACACTACTTGAAAGCTACTTCTGGTCCATGGACCCCACATGGAGTAGCAAGGGTTAAGAGGATATTGTTGCTGAATGTTGGTTACTTGGTTATAACTGTCTTTCATGGGTCTAAAACAAACAAACAAACAAACAAACCTAAGACAATTCTAATCTACATCTACAGGCTCTTTGAGCTCTCACAGGTCAGCAACCAAGTAGCTTTAATATCATTTTGAGTGCCTACTAGGTACCAGGCACTATGCCAAATGCTTTGCAAGAATGATTTTATTTAATCCCCACAACTCTATGAAACAAGAACTATTATTATCTCCATTTAAATATATATAACATATATATATATTATTTTAAGTTCTGGGATACATGCGAAGGACATGCAGGTTTGTTACATAGGTAAACATGTGGCATGGTGGTTTGCTACACCTATCAACCCATCACATAGGCATTAAGCCCAGCATGCATTAGCTCTTGATCCTGATACTCTCCCTCCCTCAGTCCCCTACCTGACAGGCCCGGCATGTGTTGTTCCCCTCCCTGTGTCCATGTGTTCTCACTGTTTGGCTCCCACTTGTGGGTGAGAACATGTGGTGTTTGGTTTTCTGTTCCTGTGCTAGTTTGCTGTATCTCCACTTTTTAGAAGCTGACGCAGGCTGAGGTTACAGTGAGCTGAGATTGTGCCACTGCACTCCAGCCTGGGCAACACAGCGAGACTCTGTTCCCCCCCAACACACACACACAAAAGGTTTTTTTAAAAAAGAGAAATAAACATGGGTGGTGGTGTCAAAATAGAAACAAGAACAGTATGTTTATGGGGTTCACAGGGTATGAATATGGCTGTTCTTGCCAAAGTGGAGTGTTATTATTGGGTTAGTGGTGGGAAATGAAGCCAGAAGGGCAGTTTAGGCTAGACCAGTAGACCCTCAGAACTTTGCTAAGGAGTCTTAGCCTTATCCTCAAGGCAATGAAAACAGCATGGAGGCAGCTGAGCTATGGAGAAAGTATGAGATGTCTTTGAAAGATTAACCAGGTAGCTATGCAAGATGAATCTGATGGAATCTTCCGCCTGGGTCTCAAATTCTTTGTCTTCTAATCTACTAGCCTAAGGCTCTCAATACTCCTGCCTAGGCCTAGAAGCCTGGAGACCGCTTAGGATGTGACTGTAATAGTATGTGCAGGAGGGTGTGAAGGGGGAAAAGAAAGGAAGGATTAACAGAAGCAGAATAAATTACAAAGAAAGAATTGGCAGGGATTGGGGGCCTAATTGCATATAAGGGCAAGGGAAAAGAAAGAAGAAAAGATGGCTTTAGGTTTAAGCCTCAGTGATCAAGAGAATGATGGTCAGTTGACAGATCTGACTTGTGACACATCACGTTGGGGGTGGTGATGGTGAAGTCAGAAATGATTAATAAGCAGCTGGAGATGTGGGATGGTAGCTCGGGAAAGCAGTTGAGACTCGTGGTAATGACTTTATGTAAGTTAGTTCCCAAAGCATTATAATAGTTAAGGAATGTTCACTGTAGGATTATCCACAACAGCCAAGAGCTGGAAGCAATCTACATGCCCACTGATGTATGAATGGATAAAGCAATTGTGGTACATACATACAATGGAATATTACTCAGTCTCAAAAAAGAAGAAAATCTTGTCACATTCTACAACATGGATGAACTTTGAGAAAATTATGCTAAGTGAAACAAACCAGTCACAGAAGGACAAATACTGCATTACTCCATCCTATATGCAGTATCTAAAGTAGTCACAGAAGCAGAAAGTAAAACGATAGTTGCTAAGGGCTGGGGGAGGGAGAAATGACGAGTTGCTGCTCAATGGACATAGAGTTTTAGTCACACAAGATGAAAAAGTTCTAGAGATCTGTGGAACAATAATGTGCATATAATTAACAATATCGTACTGTACACTTAAGTTTGTTAAGAGGCCAGATTCCATGTTAGATTCTTTTTATTCTAATAAAAAATAAATAAACAAATCATAAAAAAACATTGAGCCCAGCCACGGTGGGTCATACCTATAATCCCAGCACTTTGGGAAGCTGAAGTGAGAGGATCACTTGAGCCCAGAAGTTCGAGACTGCAGTAAGCTGTGAATGCACCATTGCACTCCAGCCTGGGGAACAGAGGGAGACCCTATCTCAAAAGGAAAAAAAAAAAAAAAAAGTTGAAAGATGGGGAATAGATAAGATCTACATTCTCTTTGGAGAAGAGATAAAAGACAGAGGCTTAAGAAGGGACATCCAGATAATAGCCAGTTTCAGGTAAGATTAGGAAGAAGAACTAAGAAGGAAAGAGGCTGCCAGAGAAATAGGAGCATTTAGCATCTCAGAGGCTGTGGATGATAGGGTTTTAAGAAGAAGGCTATGGCTGTGCACCACAGAGGAAACAAAATGGCACTGGAAGTCTCAAGACCTGAGGTAGATTTCCAGTTCTTCCATTTAGAGCAATCTCATTTCTTCTCTGAGCCCTGGTTTCATTATCTGTAAAGTCGAAGAACACCTACCCATATGAAAGTACTCTAAACTGTGATATGGAATAGAAATGTGAGGAATTTTTTGTTGTTGTTTTGCCTCCTTGATCCCAGCAGTACTATGTTACTTTTTTTCTATTGCTCTTGTTTATTTTTTATTTTATTTTATTTTTATTGAGACAGAGTCTGGCTCTGTCTCCCAGGCTGGAGCACAGTAGCACAATCTCAGCTCACCACAATCACTGCCTCCTGGACTCAGGCGATCCTCCCAAGTAGCTGGGACAATAGGTATGCCACCACATCCTGCTAATTTTTGTATTTTTGTAGAGATGGGATTTCATCATGTTGCCCAGACTTGTCTGGAACTCCTGGGCTCAAGTGATCCTCCCACTTCAGCCTCCTAAAGTTCTGGGATTATAAGCATGAATCACTATGCCCTACCACTCTTGTCTTTATGTAGGTCTTCAGTTATGTGTCATAGCCTATCTACGTTCAGCTGTGAGAAAACAAAATAGACATAGCGTCCTAAGAAAAGAGGGCCAGCTAATGGCTCTTCCTTTGAAAGTTATCCCACCATTGGTTTTCACAAGACTCCCAAGGTTGCATTTCTTTTTTTGTTTCTAACTTTTGTTTTAAGTTCAGGGGTACATGTGCAGGTTTGTTATATAGGTAAACTTGTGTTATGGGGCTTTGTTGTACAGATTATTTCATCCCAAATTTGCATTTATTATTATCCATTTCCTTTTATAAATGAGAAGAACCAAGGAAATCTCTAGTGAGAAACAGAGCAAACTGATTAGGTCAGTTCTTTTTAGATAATGAAAAACAGGAAGTTAACCTTTTAATCTACCCAAGGTTGGAAACGGGCGCGGGGGGGTGGGGGAGGGAGGAAGGGAAAAAAAAAAACGCTACCTAAAAACTTCACTTTCTAGAGCTTGTATAGTCTTTCCTTGAAGAATTGATGACATTGTATATTGCAAGGATTGTAGGGGAATTATAGACAGCAGGTTCAATTTCTTTTTAATTCCTGAGCATCACCATGTTTAGATTACATTTGGGTCAGCACTAATCAGTTACCTGCAAGGAAACGGAGCTGATTCTTCACTTTCATCATTCCATCACCAGAGCCTCCAATGCACTCATCTTCATCGTCACCACAGTCTCCACTTTCAAACCCTTCCTCATCCAGGTTTTGATCCAGAACTCTACCTTTGGGCACAGACATGGTTCTCAGGAGCTGAAAGAAAACAACAGGAATGCATCAGCACTTCATATTTCTCAGGTAGGTCTACAGTGTGTTATTAACAGGAGGCATTGAAAAATGTTCAGTGAATTACACAGAAGCTTTAAAAAGTCACTTTCAAATTTAAGTAGCTGTAAACTGCTTATACTCTTTAGAGTTTCATACTTCTGGACCTTCCCACAGCATTTGATGTGATGCTGTACTCCTTGACTCTACTTACATCATGCAGTAGCCAGAGTGTATATTGCATCAGATCATCTCATACCATGGTATTTAAGCTCCTGAAAGTCTCCATGATACAACTCACTGCTGGGGAACTTAAGACATGATAACACAAAGCTAGGAGGACATCAGTATCAGAAAAGATCCCTATGGAAGCCCCCAATAACCAAATTTACAGTCACTAAATTAAAACCACAAAATGCTTCCTGCCAAATGAAGGGAATAGCAGTGCCATTTTATACACATTTACAATGACTACTTATAATCAATCATCATAATTATATATGTCTTGATCACTAGAAAAACGGTTTAATAGTCTCCCCTCCTGCAATTCCAATAAGATGCTTTTAAATTCATTTTGCTTTATTGTAGATAATATGCATAATAAGAGACATGTTTGTTTTACTCTGCAGTGTCTGGCTTTTCAGTCACATGGCTAATATGTTACTAATTTTATGGGACTCCCACCTTTCGAAAGTCTCTCCACTGACCCATAGACCCAGTGCACCGCATGAAGGGTCCCCAAGGGCCATTGTCCAATTCCATCTTATTTTTCCTCACCATCTCTCTCCAAGACTTCATTCTCATATTCTGTTTTTGTCCTGGCTTCTTCCTCATCACCCATTTCTCATACTAAATCTTAGTCCCATCCCTTACTTTTAAAAGACAACCAACAAAAGATTCTGGATATACAGAAACTGATATTTTTGTGATTGTGGAAGAGGTATCCAGAAAGAAAAATTGCTGCAAACAGAGGCTGGGGTTTCTGCGGTTTCCATAGTCCCTATGTTTATTGCCACGGCTAAGTATACTTTTATGTTCTCCACCTGTGATTTAGCTGCCACACTGAAACCTGCTTGGAAAAAGCTACATACTACAGAGAAATGTGATTCTGCAGGTGGTTTTTACATTTTTATTTTTATTTTTTAGCAAAGAGGAAAGCCCTAAAGAGGTTTTTTGTTTTTTTTTTTTTTGTTTTTTTTTTTTTTTTCTGGCCAACAACCTCTAATGGATTACAGAAGCCAACCTACCAACTGTTTCCCACTCCAGCACCACGTTCACTCTCCCACCCCGGCACTTCCACTCTCTCACCCTACCACATCCTCTGCTGCTCATCATACACAACTAAATTTGTTATATACATATACAGGCTAAGATGAGCTGGATTAGTGATTCTCAAACTTCTTGGTCTCAGGACTCCTTTACACTTACTGAGAACCATAGAACACTTTGGTTTATATAAGTTATCGCTACCAACATTTGCCATCTTAGAAATTATAACTGATAAATTTTAAAAATATTTGATAGCTTCTGTAAACATAACAAGAATGAACCCATAATGTGACAGACTTTTTTTTTTTTTTTTTTTTTTTTGACACAGGGTCTTGATCCATCACCCAGGTGGGAGTGCAGTGGCATGATCATGGCTCACTGCAGCCTCGACCTCTCAGGCTCAAGCAATCCTCTCACCTCAACTTCCCAAGTAGCTGGGACTACCATTGTGTGCCACCACGCCCAGCTAAATTTTTTTGACTTTTTGTGGTGGTGAGGTCTCGCTACATTGCCCAGGCTAGAACATAAACATTTTTTAATGACAAACATAGTTTCACAGACATAAGATAATTCGTAGGAAGAGTGGCACTATTTAACATTTTTATAAATCTCTTTGATGTCCAGCTTAATATAAGATAGCTGGATTATCAAATCTCCTTCTCCACTCAATCTACTGTGATGTATGGTTTTGGTTGAAACATTTGCAGTTAATCCAACCTCCCACAGATATGTCATAAGAAAAGAGAGAAGTATTTTAGTAGACTTTTCAGATAATTGTGGAGATTTTTCTTTGATACTACATTAAAACTCAACAAGTAGTTGCAATGTGGAATATGAGACTATACAAATAAACATTTCATGTCCTGTTACATTAATCCATTGGTATGTTTTGAACTTTGAACATGCATTTTACTCATTTTGTATCATCATGCATGGGTCATCTGGAAAATATTGGCTCACTGAGCAATGTAGTTCTTCCAAATGTCAATACCTTTCATTATATGATATAAAAAATCATATTCATTAATATTACCCCCAATCTCATCTGAGAAGTCTTTAAGCTTTGGGAAGCTCCGAAGCTCACAGTGGCAGATAAAAGTTTAAAACAATTTTTGGTTTTCTATTGAAAGTTTGAATTTTATTATTGGCAATAAATACTGTCAGTTGTTTTCCCTGAACTGACAGGCTGTCTTTGTTCCTTTCCAAGAAAATGTCTAGCAAATACTCAAGTCTGCATAACTATATTTTGTAAGTCATTCTCTCAAGTAAAAATGAAACAAGAGGCTCACAGCTCAAATATCTCACAAGTGCTTTTTCTTGAAATGCACATTGACATGGTTTACCGTGTAAATACTTTAAGTGTACTTCCCATTTTATAACACAGAACTTTTAAAAAGTGTAAGAGATGAGGTTTAATAAAATTAGTAAATTTTTACAGTTTCAGCAATGATACCCTTAAGTGAAACTGCCCTTTACTTTTCTGCAAGTACACACCAGTGAATAATACAATGACTACAACATTTTTGTGCCATTGGCTGAATTCATCCTGTGGTGTCTTAATTCACACTGCGGCATCAAAGAGTTGTACTTACCATTGCTTTTGAACCACTGGTGCAAAAATCCACACAGGGAAAAAGACAAATAACATCTTAGTACTGCTGTGCAAGTAGTCTTAACCTTGTGGATGCCTGGATTTCTTTGATTCCCAGGGTCCATAAACCATTCTTTGAGAACTGCTCATCTAGCCTATAACATGACTTCAGTTTCACCAAATGTCTTATGAGAAATTTGCTTTCAACATTATTATGTGTTATGAGAAATTTGTCTTATGAGATATTATGTCTTATGAGAAATTTGTCATTATATCTTACGAGAAATTTGCTTTCCACATAAGCATTTTTATGTTAATTTTCAAGAATGCATTCTTTGTGTACATCACGGAATACCTGAAAATTTTTTCACAGAAGTAGAATTTATGTTTAGCTATAGATTAGTGAACTTGCTATTTCTCTCATATCTTGCATCTGTCCTTTTCTTTCTTTCTTTTTTCTTTCTTTTTTTTTTTTTTTTTTTGAGACGGAGTTTCGCTCTTGTTACCCAGGCTGGAGTGCAATGGCGCGATCTCAGCTCACTGCAACCTCCGCCTCCTGGGTTCAGGCAATTCTCCTGCCTCAGCCTCCTGAGTAGCTGGGATTCCAGGCACGCACCACCATGCCCAGCTAATTTTTTGTATTTTTAGTAGAGACGGGGTTTCACCATGTTGACCAGGATGGTCTCGATCTCTTGACCTTGTGATCCACCCGCCTCGGCCTCCCAAAGTGCTGGGATTACAGGCTTGAGCCACCGCGCCCGGCCACATCTGTCCTTTTCATTAACACTTTTCATTACACATTCATTGAGAATGTACTGTGAGCTTTTCCTCATTTGTGTCTGTTCAAAGCCCTCCATACTTTCAAGCCAAGTTCTACTGCCATGTCATTAATAAAGTTTTCCTGGTAGACAGTCATTACAGCTCTCCCTCTCCCTTTTCTACCACTGCTCCCTTTATCTGTACCTCCTACATGCCACTTTCTGTATGCAATCTGATATTATTTGTACATATGACTTCTCTCCATCACCATGCTGTGAGCTGCCCAGGGGTTTCATTTTGTATATCTCTGAACTCCAGAGCATTTAAGGCAGTACCTAGCACATAGTAGGCACTCAATATATATGCTATTGAAGTGAAGCAAATTGAAGTGTTGTGGTATCTTTAATTCTTTAAAAGCAATTTCCACAACTTTATGAAAAAGGAGAAAGTCAAGGCCCAGATTAATTATAGAAGAAGATATGTGGATGAATACCTAAACATTTTGGGAGGACTTAAGCTCAGACTTGTAGCCAATCTTTGAGAGGCCATTTCTAACCTGGGTACAGTGCCCCCAGTATTCTTGAGTAGCTCAGTTTAAAACAAAGTGCAATTAAACAAAAACCCTTTAAAACTTTGCCAGTGAAGTTACTTCTTTAGGTATTAAATCGCTCCTATATTGGTGACAAATTCAGCATAGAAGAAGGATTACAGCAGACTTTTACACTTTAACAAAACAAACCCAAACCTAGAAAGCTATTGTTAATGGAAAAATCTTAAAGAAGAGACTGAAGCTTCAGAGTGTTGAAAGAAGGGTAATGGGTCATAGAAGAGGAATTGCTAGCAAGGAGTGGATTTAGTGCAGCCTGGGAATTTGGCCCAGAAATCCAATTGCCTAATTACAGTTCACAATATTGACCTTTTTGTTCCCTTTCTCAGTCTTTCAGACTGAACACTCACTTTATGAAAAGACAATTATGAAGGACTTGCACCAAAGGTAGGTAACTTTAGGGGCCAAATGCTTTTGATTAACTGTTTGCTGTTTTCAAAGGACACTGTCCTGTTAGCTTTTTGAAAGCCAAGGCATGCAATAATGATTATCAGTGTAAACTATCTTATTAAAACCTAGTCTAAGTATTTCATTCCACTATCCCCATAGACATTCCGTTAACCTGACACTTCTGCTGTGCATTAATTTGCATACAGAGGACACCCTAGTGGAGGTGCACAAGGCCCTTCACATTCCAGCTTTTTCTACAGCCACTACCCTCTGTACAACTCTGTTTTAGCCACTGAGACTATCACAGTTGTCTAAGCATACAATCAACTTTCTTTTAGAATATAATATTTTAAATATGCAACTATCAAATAT